TGCCCCCGGTCCGGCCCGGCCACCAGGCAGGAGTAGCGGCTATTCACCAGCGCACAAGCTGCAGCATACGTCGGCAGCTCTAGGCAAGGCACAACGCCAGCCGGTCCTATCACTGGTCCCTCCGAGGCCGCCTTTGGCCGAGGACCTTCCGAGCAACCCGCAGCCATGAGGTTTGTCAGATTTCCCACGGCGCGCACTAGTGACGCAGGCGTAACTGCCTCTCCTCCGACGCCTGCTTTCTACGTCATTCACCAGCTACCGCGCCCGTAGGAATTTCTTCTCTTTGCGCTGCATTACGGAGATCTGACCAGCAGGGGGAAACCGCTTTTTCGCGCTTCGAGGACTTGGGGCGCTTGAATTCTGCGGATACGTTTTGAGCATGCGCAAAAGCAAACTCTGCTCTGAAGGCGGGCAAACGTGTATATTTGCAAATTGTCCTGGTTGAGTCTAATGTGTAGCTTTAAAATGTGTCCCCACTTTGATCGGTTCCAGTGGTAAGGCAGTTTGGTAGAATTTTACAAGCTCGTCCTGTACAATACTAAGTTTCAAAAAGTATATAGGTGTGTATTTTATGTGATGAATTAGAGCCTAAAAAGCAGCCCAGATGTCTTAGATACAGCGAATCTGAAAACGAGCCAACCACCTCTATTCTGTCTGGTTTCTCTCCTTATTCTGTAATTACTAACTTGGGGAATCATACCGCTACTTTTCAAGCCGCTCTACCTAGTTGCTAGTTGTCATCCTTAGGGCCTGTCTCAGTACACTATTCCCAAACATCAAATCAACCCCAGGGCACCTCCCTACCTTTCTGTCCCCATAAGGATTAGCTAGTTCTCCATTTGCCTTTGTCACCACGAACAAGCATTTGTTTTAATGCTAATTTTATTTGTGCCTATTTGCTTTACTATTCCATTGATGGATTCTGATTTACTAAGGGACCAGGGTATCTGTCTTGTTCACACTTTTTCAGCTCCCATATGACCGGACTCTCCTCCAAACAAACCAATAATAACAATAACATCTTCCTAAATTTCCTAAATGAATGGTAAATAAGTGACATGATTAAAAAAGCTCACAGCCTAAGTGGAAATGGACCTGTAACACAAACGTGTAATACAGGTTATTCCGAATAAGTGCTAAGAGAAATGTATAGCCAGTACTAATATATCCCCTTCTCCCCTGTAAGAAGCCTCTAACTTTCCTCAAGCTGCTTTCTTACTTGTAAAATTGGAATGCTCATCTTGCCTTGCCAGCTTAGAGGGATGATAGAAAGTTCAAATGAGATAAATAAAAAACATTTTCTTTAGCATTCTTTAGCTGACAACAAATTCCGCGTGAGATGACAATAGCATAGGACAATAGGAAACTGCTCGCAAAGCCCAGTGATAGACCTTTTAATTCAGTGAGTGGGAAATGTACTGGGCTTTACCTTAAAATTGTTGCAAAGTCTTGTAACACCTCTATGTTGGACCATTTATTCAGTGACTATACTCTTGGCTGAACGTTGAATTCGCCTGCAGAGCTTAAAACCTCCTGATGTCCAGAGGGCACCCCAGAACAATGACATCAAAACCTCTCCAAATGATTACGACTTATAGTCCAACCTAGTTTGCCTGCAGGTGATTTTAATGAAAACAATTTGTCCAAAAAACAATTAAAAAAAAAAAAGCTAGTCATTAGGGTAATTTAGACAAAATAAAACTCTACCCAAAATCAAATACTCCAAATACCTATAGTTGGACTGAACTGTTTTCTATCTCCCTCAAATTTGTCACAGTTCCATGAAAATTCAAGCAGCAATGGTCTTAGCTTGCCTTCATGGCAGTTGTGCTGGTTTCCAGCAGAAGGAAGTGCACATAACCTCTTGTCTAGACTTGGAACTCACAAATGTCAATCCAGTGCCTGGAATGCTCCTAATCTCATGTACTTCCTCCTTTGCCTAAGAGAGGCTCAGGTGCTGCTTCTGTGATATACCAGGTCTTTAAATATGCCTAGCCTGGATAAAGACTAATATTAGTACTTCCAGGAAGGGTGTCATTACCTTTATCTGGCTGATTTTATCAGATTTGTCAGATGATTAAAGATAATTCACATCACACTGGCCAACATGGTCATTATTGTGGTCAAATTTTATTACATACCTGCAGGTGCTGTGTTAAATGCCTTGTGCAAATCGCCAACACAAAATTCTTTGTGCATGTATTATAATTACTACATTTGTTTGTAGTTGGGGAAGCCTGAATTCTAGAGAAAGTTTAATGAAATCAGCCCCATAATGGTGGCGATACAACCTGTATTGTTAACAGCATATATCCAGGCCCTAGCACATATTTCTTGAATGAATGAGTAAATTATTTTCCCAAAGACACATAGCTATTGATTAACAAGAAATTTAACCTATGCATTACACATCCCACAACTCATGCTTTGAACTCTAAAGATCCTCACTTTTCCTATGCATATTACCAAAGCTGATAAAGGAAGAAATTGTAACATTAAGAAAACAAATGGCTTATTTTATTAAGCCTTTACCTAAAAAAGGTTAAGGTGAGAATCCAATCAAACTGATAAATATTACATTTTAACAGACTTGGAGAATTGTTAAACAAGCACCAATTTTTTTGTTTTTATTTTTGTTTTTGTTTTTGTTTTTTGGGGTTTTTTTTTGACAGATTTTTGGTATAGGGTGCTTGCGCTCACTGGAGAGACAAGACAGAAAGTTAGAAATTACCTACCAGGGGAAGATAGCCACACTGCACTCCCCTTCTTCTCCATTCTCCTCTTGGGATTTGGGGCATATATGCTCACACACCAGGCATGAGTTTCAAGCCACCAGGTCCAGGACTTGAACCATGGTCAACCACGTGGGAGTCCAGCACCTTAACCACTTTGGCATCTGCTGTCTGCACAAGCACTGGTCTTAGCAAAAGCATAAATGATGGTAGTCTTTCAGAAAATAATTCAGGCACTATGCCTGGTAGAAGCCAAGTATGAGAATCAGGCTGTGTGGATACCAATCCTATTTATCACCTTGGATAACTTGCTTAGTATTTTGTTTTGTTTTTAATTGCCAGAGCATGTGTGTGCTGGATAGAAAGAGAGAGGGCGGGAAAGAGAAAACAATCCCCAATAAGGCATAGTCATGCCACAATCCTTTTCCCTCCATCAGTCTATCCAGTAGAGATTTGGGCCACAGACACGTACATACCTAACTTGTTTTCCTTTTTCTTTTCTTTGCCTTAGGCCACTTGCGCTTGCTGAAGAAAGAGACAGACAGTGAGAGGAAAAGTGAGAAATCACCCCAAGGAGGAAAGGCCATGCTGAAACTCCTTCTCTTCCATTCTCCTTTCAGGATCTCAGGCTCAGGCACCCAGCATGATTTTCAAGCCACCAGGTCCAGGACTCAAGCTGTGATGGGCACGTGCGAGTTCAGTGATGGAACTGCTATGCCATTTGCTGGCCCCTCTAGCTTGTTTTTCAAGCTGCTGGTAGCAATGAGGGGGCATCAAGATTTGAACCACAAAGCTGACCATGTGAAATTCAGCTCCCTTAACCACTAGGCCATGAGGCTGGCCCACTTAGTGTTTCTCAACTGTAATTTCTTAGTCTAGAAGCATGATGATATGGTGAGTATTTAACATGACAACAATAGTGCAATACTAATTACAGAGATGGCCTTACATTAAGTGATTTATAAAATACTTTGAGTCAATGATGGATCCTCAGATACAATATGCTCCATTAAGCCGAGTTCAGTTCATGACTTACAAGAGTATAGGAGTAGATGACCTTTTTTTTTTTTTTTTTGGAGTGGTTTTTGTCATAGGGCGTGTATGCTAGCCAGAAAGACAGACAGAGAGACAGAAAGCGAGAAATCACCCCTCAGGGGGGATGGCCACGCAGCAATCCCTTCTCCTCAATTCTCTCAGGATCTTAGGCACGCATGCACATGCATCCGGCGTGAGTTTTAAGTCACCTGGTCCAGGATGCAAACTGTGGTCGACTACATGGGAGTCCAGTGACATAGCCATTACACTAACAAGGAGTAGCTGACCTTTTTGAGTAACAAAGGAAAAACCTGACTGTAAGAGAAAAGTTTGGGTAAGGGTATAAATAAAAACTTGGGGAGGCTTTGACCTCGATTCTCTGGGAATGATTTATTTTTCACTTTGGTCTTAAAGGAACGATTATTTAATTGCCCATCTTCTCTACTGTTCAGTAGTTAGAAGTAAACTATATACATGAACATTTGATTCAGATTAAAATGAATATTTTGATATGTATCCCTTTAACATATTTTATTGGTTAAATTCACTTCAGACATGAAATTTGTATACAGAGGTACACATTTGCTATTTTATTTGTCAATAGAAGAATTAAAATGGTTTGAGTACAAACTAGTTGTTTGAAATAAATGTGGTTAGTCTAGGAAATAGTTTTAACTGGACTTTTAGGGAACACATTTAAAATTTGTCTAATGGGTCTTGGAAATAAACCAAAAACAAACAAATCACTGAATAGAATACATAACTATCAACCAACAATTGGTTGATACAGACTTGTAATTCACAAATGTGACAGCAGATGGCAAATCTGAGCTTTAAATTTGTAAAGTTTCGTTTTAGCTTAATACACTGTAGAGAATGGCAAAAATCAGGGCAGCTATGTATTGGCGGCATGTTTCTACGTACAATTCTTTTTTAAAAAGGACTTAGAATCAGTATTTGACATGAAAGCTCCTCACACTTGCTTGGTAGATTGTCGACCCTAATGATGTACACTGCACCTACACACAGTGAGGAAAGCAAGATCGCATTATATTCATTTTATTAAGAATAACAGGTTCCACCGTTTGCAAGCTATAGCTTTTGCTATAAGTACATACAAATATAATGACTCAGGTGAGTGTGTCTATAAGTTAAGATCCAACTGTTTTAATAATATTATGTTAATAGTAATATTATTATTCCTGGACCCACAACATCAGTATCAACTGAGAGCTGGTTAGCAGTGAAAATCTCAGGCTCCACTCCAGGCTCACTCTATGTCGGGATGGAGCCCAGCAATCCAGTTTAATCAGCTCTACAGGATTATAATATCTGCTGACACCTGTGATTCTGAAGAGAGTTGAAATGTAGGGCAGAACCTCACGGATCATTTTTATTCAGATTTAATTGATATAAATGCAATGACA